ACTTCTAGTATAGGGTAAGCCGACTCGGGGAGTCAACTTTGTGTTCGTTTCATTGATTTCCATTATTATTTATTAACAAATTTTAAAAAAAAATTGAAAAAATTATTTAACATTTTGAATTTGATAAAAAAAAAAAAAATGTGTTTTTGTGTTACTTAATTGGATAACCTCGCAAGATAATGCTGAGTTCACATTTGAAGTTGTATTAATTTTTTATTCGTGTCCGAACGTAAATTTCTTATCGATAAAAAACCCTATTTTTAGATTACATAGCCATTGTTAATTGTTATTTAGGTTTTGGAAATTATTGTGTAACAGGATGGCAGAGTTGGTATAACTAAGTTGTATATAATCTTAATTCCCTATGATGAAATACAACAATCACTTAACCCTTGTGCAAGAATAGTTTGGAAAGATTGAATTGATTTAAATTGCGTTGTTTCCTTGTGTGAAATGTATTATCGGAGTAATTTGGCTAACAGGTGGATGCTAGGTATTGATCGTTTATGCTAGGAACCCAATTTCAACTACTCGTCTTAAAGGGGCATTGCATTATTCATGATAAAAGAGAAAATAGTTGTGACGTTGCAAAGCTATCCTCTTGACATCCCAATGTAGGGGCCAATTTAATATTCTGAAAGGAAACTTGAAGATTATAACACTAAAAAATTAGGGAAATCTTCATGGTCTAAGTAGTTTCCTTTATTGATTTGATTCAAACGATTTTGATAGTTAAAGTAAGAGTAATTGGATAGTAACATTTAGAAATAACACATTGGAAGAGAGAATAAACATAAAGTTTGGGAAGATAATAAAATTCGACCATTGAGGATCGGAAGGGACCAAATAGAAAATTTACCCTTTTATGTAATGTTGACTAGACCTAGGTGATGATTTGATTTGGTTATGCACATAGTGGTCGAGCATTGGATAAGTTAACAGTCGTATTGGTGGCAATATTTGGAAGGTCATTACAAATTGCTTAATTTTAAATGTTAAATCTTTGTGGTAAGCTATCGAGCGAAGCAAGTCTTTGTATTCCTTTTTCCTTACGTGTTAAAATGTTGAGTAGATAATTTTGCTTGAAATTAGCATAAGTGTAAGTTTGGAGGCGTGATAAGTATTTTTTACATGCTTAATAGTTTATTGTTTGACTAGATTTCTACTCATATGATTGTATATATTGTGTTTTTGGGTTAAACCCCGACTTGGAATTGAATCAAGCAAAAAGGAAGTAATTAGGAGTTAAAAGGACCAAAAGATAGAATTGAGTACCCTGACTTGGATACGAGGAAAGTTGGCTAGGCAATCAAAGAGAAAATCCAGATGAACAAGGGTATTTGAAAGTAATAAAATGTGAAGTGAGAGAACTAACAAAGAAAAGTCAAAAAAGCGAAATGAAGAACCTGTGTGGAGTGTTGAGAAAATTAGAACATAGTTTGGTACAAATATCTCCATAGCGAAAAAATAATATACCATTGAAAAGATAATTTAATTTGGAGCTAAACGCAAAAATAAATAAATAAGTGAAAAAATCACAAATCGAAATTGTGGATCAAAGATTGTGCACGTTTGAAGAAGAAGAAGGTGCCTTGCAGGGTCGTTCAAGAGATTCAAGATTAAGAATTGTATCAACTTTTATTCTAAATAATCCAAATTATGTGTTCACTTTTTATCCTATATTTTTGTAATCAAAATATGATAAATCAAACCATTTGTGGCTAGGATCTCTATGTGAAATAGTTCTGGTACAACTCAGTTTCTTTTTTAGTGAGAGTGGACTCTTGTCCTTCAGTGATCTTGCAAAAAGAGGTTGGGACTCCCTCCCCTGTTTTACCTTCAGCATGAGAATTAGTAATCATTTTTAGATAAATGATTTTAAAGAATTGTAACAGAGACAGAGGAAAGTATTTTTTTCTGGAAAAAGAAAGAACCCTTTACCTGACACGTCCATTAGATATTTATAGGCGTCTGACATCACGTAACTGCTAGGCAGATGCCATCCTCGTGTCCCCATCAATCTAGCATCACGTAATCGACGGGCAGTTGTTGTCCACGTGTCCTCATGAGACCTGCCCTCTCCTAGACCCTTTTTTCCATTTATTCAGTTACCTGGATAGTGGGTTTAATGATAACTGTTCGGATGATTGTTAATTGACTCCAATGTTGTTCGGGTACACGGCGGTCGCTCCGCGCATGGCGGTAGTCAGACTAGCATAGCAACTAGCACTCTAATATGACGAGCGTCACCTAACATGCCAAAATTGTCTGTACCTTATGAGCAAGCGAAGGTAACGTCGGTCGAGTTGACACTACGGTAGTCACCATATCATGATAGGCGCTACCCAACATAACAGGGGTCACCCGACATAATGGGAGTCATCCTCTCTCTACCAGTCGTCCCAATTAATTATTTGAATCACATGGTATCACTATGAAATCCTATTAACTTTTTTATTAATTAGTTGCTTGTTTTAGTTTAAATTATTGTTTTTCTTATTGATTATTTCTTATTCTCCTACTCCATCTTGAAGATTAACCACAAATAGAGCGTGTTGTAATTTATACATTTTTCTGGAGATTCAATATATATGCACATGGTAATGAACAATATATGATCATATAATATACAAAGATATCGCATTTTTCTATGGAATCGTATATGTTATTTTCTTTGTGAATTAATACATGCTGATAAGGTCAAAATTTAATTAGAGATAATTGGATTCATGTGTAAGTATTGATTGACGTCAATAGAGACTATTGATTTAATTGCACCATAAGCAAGAATTGATTAAAAACACATAATTGGTTATAAGTAGATAATCAATCCTCATGGATTCGACATTTTACTTGACATTTATTAAACGAAAACTATTTGATAGTTCGGAATTTATATCCTCATTTCAATTAAGTAATTCATGCTAATTTTATCAATTGTAGAATAGACTGTAACTCGAAAATCGTAGACATATAAACAAAGGATTAAGCATAGGTTAAAAGTCACTTTTCTAAAATTCAAGTTAATATTTAATCTCTTTTTGTTTTTTTAAAGATAAAGAAAATTTTGTCATCGTAAAATAAGTAAGTTATGTTTGAGTAAACTTACAAGTAATTCATTATTTTCGATCAAAATCAAATATTAATTTTAGTTACACATTCATAATTATTACTCATTTCTTATCTAAATATTTAATGAGACCCACTATTTTTTGCATAATAAGTTTCTTATAAGTAACTTATAAGGAAACTCAAACACGTGGTAATTAAACATAAATTTTGCCTCCTACGTACAAATAAAAATTAGGAAAGTTTGCATAAATGGTCCCAAAGTTTTGCCTATCTTGCAATTTTTGGTCCAAATCATCAAATCTAGGTGCAAACAATCCCAAACCTATGTTTTTTTTGTACAATTGGTCCTTTTGGATAGATTCCATCCAAAATGACTTAATTTCTCTCTTATTCGGTTTTTATTGAAGGGGTATATTTGTCGATCAAAATAAAATTTAAAATGTAAAGAAAAGAATTTGAAATGTAATCATCAGCTTCTTCCATCCACCCACCATAGATTCATAGTTCCACCACCACCACCTACCAACTGACCACTACAACCGCCACCCTAATGCCATGTTACCACCACAATCTCAACCCAAACAATCTAACTCAACAGCCTCTCCTAAACAATCACTATCGCTATCTAAGCAACCAAGCTTACTCGCCTCTCCCAAACTACCGCTACATTGCAACTCATCTCCACCACATGCCACATTCTTCCCTATTCCTTCCATCGCATCCTCACAAGAAAATATCCCAATTTTGTTTTCTATCTTAACAAAAACCCTAAATCCTAACATATTCAGGTCTCTTCGCCTAACAAACAACACAAGATTACGATACCAAAAATCCAATTTTTGGTACATTTGTAAGCCTTTGCAGTTGCTTTGGATGAGCTTTAGTGAAAAGTTGATAAAATTCACGAGTCTTATGAATGTGTGTTTAAAAGTAAAGCTAGATCATTAGAGAATTTTAATCAATTTTTTATAAGACAAGAACTAAATGAAAAATTCAAGATCTTGAGATCTAAAAAATGTTGGGGAAGCTTTCTTATCGAGCTTGCTATTACTTGTCATGGGATTTTGATACATCAAATTTGCCTTTCATGCATTAAAATAAATTTTGTTCTCAAATTCATTTTCAATCACATTCTTACAATAAAATATTTAGCACGTAAATTTAAATTTTATTTTATTTTTTAATTATACATTCTCCAAAAAAAAATCATTATTTCAAAGCTTACTTTTCAAAAAATAAAAAAAATGGTTGTTAGAGACTCAAACGGGGTTCAAAACTGTAGTTTTATTTTATAAGTTTAACATTTCATTTTTGAAATAAGTGATTAAAAAATTATAAGACTCATGAAATATGTGAATAATATTAATTATTTAACTTTAACTTGAATTAAAATTCATACAAACTCACAAATACCACCAGAAATAGACTTACAGTGCCTCTCTAATTATTTTCGATCAAAATCAAATATTAATTTTAGTTACACATTCATAATTATTACTCATTTCTTATCTAAATATTTAATGAGACACACTATTTTTTGCATAATAAGTTTCTTATAAGTAACTTACAGTGCCTCTCTATTCCTATTTCCTATTTCGATTTTGATAAGAGGGATAATTTCAATTTCAAGAAGCACACAGAGGGAAGAAATAAATAACAATAACCTCCCCAAAAAACCCCCCAAAAAAAGAAACTTCCAGATCCGAGAAACATTTCAAAATTCAAACACCAGTCCAGAACCATTCAAGAATCTCTCTGATCTTTTCAATCCTCTTCCTGATTAATGGCCCTTTGATTTCTTCTTCCACATTCTGTTCTGGGTAAGTCTTATTTAAGTGTTGAAAAGCATTTTAGTTCATTGTTTCATACTTTTATGAAGATATTTACGCAAGGATGTGTGCAGTTATTTGGAGATAGTAATGGGTTGTTGTGAAATGGAAATGGGTTTTCTGATTTATGTTTCAAGAATTGAATCTTGGATGGGTAAATACCGGATCTTTGGGGTGACTTTGAAGATCTAGTGACTATATTCTGCTATTCTGTTTTGTTTTTTTTGTTTTTTTGTTATTTGTTTTTCTTATTTGCTATCTCTTCTAGATTTTATTAGTGTCTGGGTTATTTTAGATTACTGGTTAAAACATTTGGTAAGGTTATTAGTATTAGATTTCTTTTTCATTTTATGATTTTATGGAAAAGGGGTTTGTTTGGTTTGCCAGAAAAGTGGGGATAAATGAATCTATGCTTTTTAATTCTTCTTGATGCTAATGAAGACTTAATTTTTTTATTTTTTTATTTTTAAGAATTGACTGAATGCTATCTTGTTGATGAGGTTTAAGTCCTATGATGTAGTAATATAATATGCTGCAGCCAGTGAGGGTTCCATTGATGCTCTTAATTGAACTAATTAATTTTCAGTACCTGTTGAAATCAGCATGATTTTTACTAAAGAACATGTCTTTTACACGTGATACTACTTTTAAGAAACTAAGGAACGTTTAATATTTCTCTACTATATAATAAAGGAATCAATCAAGGTACATTGTACTATTTACCAAAGCTTGTGGCACTTGTGTGATGTTTTTTTTAGGTGCTAGAGTGAGATGGATGCCAATAAGACCATATCTGATTCTGGAAATGGGGTGAGGATCGGTGTTCACCAGCAATTCCCTGCCTCCGGAGAAGAACTAACTTCTGAAAAAGTGAGTGGAATTCTCAATGGTGGTTTTGAAGTTGGTGGGTCGAGTGAGAGTCTTGAAAATCTTGTGAATCCAAATGACAATGAGACCCTTAGTTCTTCTGTACAAGATATCACGGATGAAACTACATTGCCACCAGATGGCAATGATGTAACAATTTCGAAGGTAGGAGATTTTGAATCTTTTGCTTGGTGATATATTTTCTACTAATTGGTTCCGAACAACTGTATGTACTAATTATTTACTTCTAGGAACATGCTTCCAAAAAAATTGGAGAGTCTAAGAATTTCAAACCACTGAAGAGCATGAACAAGGCTAAGAGTGGGAAGTTAAGTCCTAGACATTCTGCATTGACAGGGACGAACAAGAATAAGGATGGAAAAGACTTGTCAAAATCTTCTGTCGCTTCAAATGGAATCCGTGATTCAGAATCACAGTCGAAACAGGCTTCTCTTAGAATAGAACACAGATCAAATGAGATGCAAGCTGCTGACCAAAGCAAAAAATCAGCACCTGCTAAAAATAATGCTCATCATTCTAAAGTAAAAAGTTCATGTTTCCATCTTCCATATATATTTTAGTTGTTTATTACCGTTTGTTATAATCTTTATTTGTACTGGCTATTATAATTATTTGCTATATTCTTGCAGCAGACTGGACATTCTGATGCAAAAGTGTCTTCCATGAGTGGCACACAGCTTGGAGGAACTCAGTATGTTATATTTCATCAATAGTCAACTTTTCTTTGATTCTGATAGAGCTCTATGATATTTTGATCTAGCTTCTGTTCCCATGTCTGTGTGATAGAGTGCAGGAATGTCTCTTGTGGAAACCTTCCAATGACATTTCTGAAGCCGCATTCTCTAATTCATTTAATATTTTTTTTTCTTTCTTTCTTTCTTTCTTTTTTTTTTTTTTTTTTTGTGTATCACAAAAACTATTTACTTCAGAGGTCTTAATAGTAATTTCCTGGCTGCAGGGACAAGCCAAAACTGAAGCCACTCAAAAAAGGCTCCACAGATAAAGCTGAAGAAACTTCAGAGTGTTCGTTGTATCCTTTTTGATTATATAATTTTACATATTATCTCCTTTTATATGAATGAGATCAATACACACACACACACACACATTGCTACTTTTATGATGCAAAATTGTTTATTGTTTATCCTTAAGTACTTGATAGAAGTCCTACTGCTGGTGATGCCAAGCCTCGCAGATTGGGTACTCTTCCAAGCTACAGTTTCAGTTTTAGATGTAATGAAAGGGCCGAAAAGAGAAAAGAGGTTAGTCTTTAACATCAGAAGTACTGTCTATTCTGTCTTTCCTCCATGATTTGGTCCTAAGACTTTCCTTTATTTTTTTGAGTAGTTCTATTCAAAACTTGAGGAAAAAAGCCATGCAAAGGAAGAGGAGGAGAATAGCATGCAAGCCAAGACTAAGGTAAGATTTTGGCACTGATTTTGGATTTAAAATGTGATTGTGCAAATGAGTTTCTTGATCTTTTCTTATTTTGCTTATAAATAGGAAACACGGGATGCTGAGATTAAAATGTTAAGGAAAAGTCTGAAATTCAAAGCGACACCAATGCCTAGCTTCTATCAGGAACCTCCACCGCCAAAGGTGGAACTAAAGAAGGTACAATATTGTTTGACACACAAATTTTAAAAGCTCAATCAACGCTGTATGAAAATATAATTACTAAACTTGAATATGTTGTACGGTAAATTCTAAACATACTTTTAACCTCCCCCCCACCTGCTCTCTCTCCTGTGATCTCTTGACTTTTGAACTTGTTTGATTACTGAGAAGATGATGTTGATGTTTGGTGTCGCTGCGGGAACTTGGTACAATTGTATTTGGATATGAATAAAGGATGCAAAGCAAAAAATAAAATTTCCGACCTGTTATTGAAAACTAGCAAAAAACCTCGTGCTGTTTCAAAATAGGCTAAATAAAGTGTCCCCAGTATTTAGAGACCCTGTCATTACTATGTCCTTGATAGCCATGCACTGGGAATGAGACTTAAGCTAAATCTTGGTCTTCTTCACCCAAAATATCATATAGAGAGACCCCTGTCATCTAAACCCAGATCTAATAGTCTTCTGAATTGTCTGGTTTTGAGTCCAAATTTGAGCAGAATTATTTTTCTCCTAACATTGAGGTTGGAATAGCTTTACGTGGTATGTGCAAGGAATGATGTTTTGTGAAATTGGTGTGGGGTTTTATTAGTCTTGGCCAAGGCATTCTTGATTCTGATGTTGGTAAAGGTCATTTTGTGATGGTTTAATATGATGGTGGTATAACTTGTGGCTGTGGTCATGGGTGATTGTTCATAATGGAACTTGCGGTACTATGATGGTGGCATTTGAAGGCTGTTAGTTTGATATTTTGTGCGCAAAGACAGTGATTTGGAGTTATGCATGCTTAGTACACAATATTGACCAAGGATAGACACTATAACGAAAAATGATTTTAGCTTCCTGTTTAATATTTTTCAATGCTCTGTAGTCCACCCTGGCTGACATACAGTACCATAATGGCATTAGTATGCACTAACAACTTGGCCAGTGAGGAAGGATTGTCATGGTAGTTAAGCTAATAATTTTATGTACATTCTTGTTAAACGATGTGTTGCTATCTGAATGAGAATGTTTGGAAAGTGTCATATGTAAATGTATAGAATCGAAATTGTAAATTGAAACTAGAATAAGGTATTTTAATTTTTTCTCCCTCCCTCTCTCTTCATAATATGAAATTACCTGTGAAGTTGGTTTCAATCAGTAGTAACAATTTATTATTTTTTGGTTTAACTGCATTATATTGAGATCCTACTTTGATGTAGATACCTACAACAAGACCAAAATCTCCGAAGCTTGGTCGGAAAAAGAGTTCACCAACTGCCAATTCTGAAGAAAATGGCGGTTCCAATGCTATTCCAGGTAGGCTAAGCTTGGATGAGAAAGCATCACAAAGTAACCCTACCAAAGGACCTCTTGCCCATGTCAAGAATTCTTCACGGAAATCTCTTCCTCAGTTGCCGTCTGAGAAAACTACCTCTTCCAATGAAAGGAGAAGAGCTTTATCTCATGCTACAACTGTATTTAAGGAGACAAGTGAATCTAAGTCTCAGCCGAGCAACTTACCCCAGGAAATGAGTGGAGCTGAGTCCGTTACACAAAATCATGAGATGGAAAAAGCGGTCGAACCGAGCAAGAAAGAGCCTGCCAAAGATGACGAGTCTGTCATTGAAGCTCAAGCACAGACGAACCCAGTGGTACAGGAACCCATTTTAGTCTGATACAAAATCAACAGCATGGAACCAAAATGTAAATCTATTAAGCTGCCTTTCATTCTAGATCTGAATAAGATTCGATTCATCCAACAACTGGGGCATGTGGACACTGTGTATTAAAGGTTGATACGTCGTAGTATGCAAAATCGCCGACAAGGTTTGATTATCTGATGTGCTTTTCAAGATTGTTCTTTAGAACTTGCAAGACGATTACTGCAGTATATGATTACTCTTGGTCATTTTATTGTCCTAAATTATGATTATGTATGTTTATGTCATCTGAAGTTGAAAAGTCGAAATTTTGGAGGAATCCTGCTATCAAATGGTTCGAGATAAGTGTTGGACTGTTTTGCGTTTTAGTTTGGCAACTACTTTGGGCTTGTATTGCTTTTGATATTCAGACTAAACAAGTGTATCTTTTGTTAGATAAGGTGTAATATTTATTTGCATGACCCTCATATTTTTTTTTTTTTTTTTTTTTTCCTCTTT